ATATGCCTAGTCCCTTTGACAAAGAGCGGCCTAGTCCTATGCTATGAAAGCGTCGAGGGAAGCTTGATTAATCATTGACATTGCCCATACGATACTTCCCAAGGTCGATCGCAAACTTCTCTTCAGCTACGGTAGTCCGAGTCATACGCCACTTCTCAGATTCAAGACTCGAGCTCTTTGAATGGGTCTTGGAGTTCTAGCCCTCTCCATTGAGTTTCTTCAAGTAGGTGAACTAGGAGCCTCCACTCTTAGGATTTTTATAGGCTAGGGGTCCTTAGAAAAGACCAAGGCTAGAGGTGGCACACGTGAGGGGTATATCAACAATTGTTCGTCAACTAGTCTAAGAAGAGTTAAGAATGAAGAGGTAGTGCATGGTCCCTGGTAGACTAGCACACCATTTCCCCTATTAAGGCTTTTTTACATGTCTTCTCTTTTGATTTTGTCGTCTATCTTCTCTTCTATTTAGCTTTGTCTTTTATCTTCTCTTTTCCCTTAATTTGTCGAAACTAGTTCTTGGAATTTCTGTTGAAATGACTTTCAATTTACCACCTAGATACCACATAAGACTATTGCAACCTACTAACGCAATCAACTATGCCCATGATACCTTGTAATACCAACAATTTTGGACATCAAAAGTACTCGCCCATTTTGAATTAATTGAACTTCGAGCTTTGTCCAAAGTGAAATTCCTTATATTTGACCAAATATATTGAAAACTATGCTAAAATTTACCACAAATATATATAATACTCTAAAAATGTATATTATGTTGAATATAATAAAACCAGTATGATGTTATATATGTTAATATATCTTCCTATGAGGGCTTTAATTAACAGAAACACTATGGCTTAGCCGACTGATCTTTGTGTGCGTGTTGCCCCCTCCATGGCTAACGGTTCTGATTTTGATCGGACGACTCGAGAACAACTTCTACTCATAGTCTAGGTTTACGGACGACTCGAGAGCAACTTCTACTCATAGTCTAGATTTACAACTTTGCCTCTGTTGCAATCCTTTCAACCACGACAAGTGGTCTGTTGCAGACCGACCAGACGCGAGGGAGGGCAGCGGCTTTGTTCCCCCAGCACCACAGCCAACCCATATCATGGTGATTACAACAAGGCTCTTATTGCATAAGACTCTTCATTCAAGATGATTTCAATAGAGACCGCCGATATGTGTTAATTATTTTTCTTCCCCAACAAAGGCCATGATTGAAGATAAATAGATTGATTGTTTTCTCGCAAAAGAAAAACAGAGGCCATGTTTCAAAAGAAAAAGAAACGGTTTGGAGTGGTTGCAACAAGACTAGGGCAAAATTACTCTTGTTGCAAAAGCTGACGCTGCTCATACAAGGGAAAAGTCATTCGGCTATTCGGGGCTCCATGAACGGTCGGCAAGACTATTATCGATCTTTTTCAATTATTATCACCCGATCGACGGGTATCACGGTCATTAGTTAACGTATATCACGGCCATTAATTTACCGTATCACCGCCACTAATTGGACCTCAATAAGTCCCGAACGTTTGGAATTTAAGCATGCTAATCCGAACTTTTTTCATGGCAACTTTAATTAAAGCGATGTTGACAAACATGACAATTTTCTGACAAAAAGTCAAATTGGAATAAAGTTGCCATGTATTAACAATTAAAATTGCCACCTCGCAGCAACTAAAATTGCCATCATAAAACGTTCGGAATGACATGCTTAAATTCCGAACGTTCAGGATTTATCTATTCCGCACTAATTAATGGAGGGGATAGTTGGCAAAAATATATTTGCCGGGCCCATGAAGCGTGGAACTGCGTGCCTTGTTGAGATAGATGGATCATATAAAGGCATGTACGATGGTACTATCTTAGCAATGCCACGTAGGACAAATAATGAGGTGAAGGAGAGATAACTCGTAAGAAAAGGTTTGCCTTCTCTTATTTAAGAGAAGACAAGAGATGATCTCTTAGCATGATATGTCTCACCATATTTTTAGGAATAACTACTTATTAAAGATAAGGCTAATAGATGACTCACCCGCAAAAAAATAAAAATAAGAAAAGCTAAAAGATGATTCATTGTAGACAATTTTGTTTGTCATTTCTATAAATTAAATGCAAGACTTAAAATAAAACCGTCTTATAAACTATTGTACTCTCTCTGTCCTATAATATAATAACGTTTTTTAAGCTGACACGGAGGGAGTGCATCCCTAAGCCGATGAAAAAAGGAGGTGGGTTCGAATAGATAGACATACAGTGCGAACTGTCCTCCGTGATCACTTCCGAGGCAGTTTATCTAGCGAAGCTTAGCAGGCAGCAGCAATGGCGGCCGAGCCCAAGATCTGCGTGCTCTCCAATGGGAGGATCACGGCGAACATCGCCAGCTGGGGCGCCACCATCACCTCCCTCCTCGTCCCCGACCCGCAAGGTTTCGCCCATGACTGCTCGAGCAAAAATCTTTTCTCCAGATTCCTTTGGTTTGGTGATTCTTGAATCTGAACTCCTCCCTTTGCGAATTGGTGCTCTGTAAGCAGGGGATCTCGCGGATGTCGTTTTTGGGTTCGACACCCTGGAGCCGTACTTGGTAATAACCGATCTACAATCCCATCTCTGTCTGTATAGACTGTGTAGTGCCTTGACTTTTGGATTGAAGTAACTGGAGGTGGAGTAATCGCTGTGATTAAGTTGTGAATTCTACTCTGGGTAGATTTTTTGGGCTGGATTCTGCGGCAAATTGATGTGCGGTTTATCTGTTCCCTACTTGCCTCAGTTTTTGTTGAATTGTCGGCTATATTGCTTTCTTTGTAACTGCCGGATCTAATTCTTCATTAGATTGAAAGTTTGAAACAACTTCATCTTGTCTATGTTATTAGCAGAAAACACCACCATATCAGGCTGATCACAAGTAGATTATTCTTTGCAGCCGATATAGCAAATTATTGAACAAGCTTGAAGTTTTCAGTAGCCATGGCTACATCTTGTGTTAGTAAATATGGCTTCTAGCTGAATTCCTCTTGGGAAAAGGATATTTATAAAGTTGTGTCCAGTTTCAGGATTTATGACAAGGAAAACTATCAAAAACCAACGTTTCATTCAGTTTATGTCACTGAAAATTTCTTTAGTTTGTCTATGAATACATTTTCTAAACCAGATGCAAGTATAAACTATCCTGATATAAATATTAGTGATTTCATGCGGAATACATGTGAATCAGTGTTATCCTGATACCTAGAATTGATGGTTCCTCAAACAGAAGATGATTGATTTGTCGTCAGGTCTCAGATATAAGCTCTTCCGTTTAATGCAATTTGTCTTGGCAAGTCACTTTATAACTCTCTTTTCTGGGTTTTTGTAATTTGTACATAACCATGTAAATATTATTTTAATAAAAAATACAGTACGATCCTTTCCTGCTGTTTTCATGTAAAAAGAATTCCTATTGTTTTCAGTCCTACCACCAACCAAGCTATATAAAGTTCAGAAGTTTTTCAAAGTTCTTGTGGAACTCCTTTAATCGAAGAGGCCGTAAACCTTGATGCTAGTCATTCACACACCAAAGCCCAATGATAATGACTTATTTCAGATATCTACCAACCAACTGTATATGAAATTTCTTAAGTATCAAGAATGTATCTTGTTATATTAAATTTCCATTGAACTTGTTTCGAAGGGTTGCCTGTGGTTGTTAACATAGACCTGCTGTTTCTTCTATTCTATTTTTGTAGAAAGGCATGGCGCCTTATTTTGGTTGCATAGTTGGCCGAGTTGCAAATAGGATCAAGAACGGGAAGTTTGATCTGAACGGAGTTGAGTATTCGTTGCCTATCAACAACGGGCCAAACAGCCTTCATGGTATGGTTTCATAAATTTCATGCGGTTAGTTTTGGCAAGGTATATACTTTGTTTTAGGTAGATCTGACAATGTGGCTATATGTCTCTGAGGCTTCTTTAGACTAGTCGGTTGCTATGGAACACTGTAAAATAATAAGTAATTTTATTGGTGATTTGAATAATTATCATGTGATATTATCACAAGTTCACAACTGAGTAGCCAGTACACCACAGACCAAGATGTCTTAAGCAGATTGCAATACATGTACACTCATTTTCCTAGTACTATTTTTTAGGCCTCGGAGAACCAAGCGTACTATAAAATTGACATGTCAGGAAATGAAAGCTACAAATTTTGTTCTCTACATTTAACTCATTGTATTACAATTGGTTGTGTTGATGTGCTCAACTGTAAAAAATAATTTGTTTTGTTGCTGAATTGTAAATTTCAGGTGGACTGAAGGGGTTTGACAAAGTTGTGTGGGATGTTGTAGAACGTAAAGATGGCGAGTACCCATCAATAACCTTTCAATATGAGAGCAAAGATGGCGAAGAAGGTAATGTGACCAACAACTTTGTTTATACTACTGAATCCCATGGTTAAGTCTGCCTATTCAAGCATGAATTATTTCACAGGTTACCCTGGTGATGTAACCGTCCGAGCAATGTATTCTCTTCCTGAGGCTACCACTCTAAGACTTGACATGGAAGCTATACCAGCTAACAAAGCCACTCCTATCAGCTTGGCACAGCATACTTACTGGAACCTTGCAGGCCACAACTCTGGCAGCATCTTGGATCATTCGATCCAGATCTGGGCAAAACACGTCACTCCAGTCAATGAAAACACGATTCCTACCGGAGAAATAATGCCCGTCCAGGACACGCCTTTTGATTTCACCACGGAGCACAAGATTGGAGACCGCATCAGCGATGTTCCTGGAGGGTACGACCATAACTATGTGTTGGACTCGGGCGATGAGAAGAATGGCTTGAAGCACGCAGCCAAGCTGAAGGACCCATCGAGCTCACGAACTCTGGACCTCTGGACCGATGCGCCTGGCATGCAGTTCTATACTGCCAACTATGTGAATGGCATCACGGGCAAAGGTGGAGCTGTTTACGGTAAGCATGCCGGAGTATGCTTGGAAACCCAGGGGTTCCCCAATGCCATCAACCAGCCCAATTTCCCGTCTGTGGTGGTGCAGCCTGGTGCGAAGTATAAGCACGCCATGTTGTTTGAGTTCTCGGCATGATTAGATATGCTGCCGGCAGCTTAAATGGCTGCAACTGCAATAGTTATAGAGTGGAATAAAACGACCAGAAGAAAAAAAGTCAAATTGTAGTACCAAACAAAAATAAAAAGGGTGTAGTGACCAGAACTGAGCGACATGATCTCATTCGGAAAATCATGTTCAAGGGTGTCTTATATTTTGGTTGTGTATACTGTGACTGAGAAGAATTATTCACATGCTTGCCAAAATATTGAAGGTCGTTTGCTTGATTTGCATGCTGAAGTGATTCTCTTGTCATTTGACACGAAAAGAGCTTACAAAGCTATTTAACTATGCAGGAAATAAATCTCAAAAGATTCGGTTGATTTCAATGAACAATCTAATCATGAAGTGGCAATTCATCAATGTCCCAACAAACACACCACGGATTACATCAAATTGATCCTCCAGTGTGCACGGTATCTGGGCCATGCATGTCCAGTTCGTGATGCGTGCTGTGAAGACTCCACTCGGATTAGGCACCCAATACAAAAACAATACCAGCGGAAGTACGGTACAAAACGCGTGATTCCGAGAAATGTGTACCAGGCCAGCACAATATGTTTATGTTCCTATCCCGCTCCTGCCACATCACCCGGGCCACCCCCCACCACAGCCTCCTTGCGCTCCCTCCTCCCTTCCCTCACTCATGTCAGAAACCGGCGGCGAGGGACCACGACGCCCAGATCAGGCGAGACCACCGCCGACGGCGGCCTCCAGCCCTCCACCCGTTGTCCGTCCTCGTTTTTTACGTCGGATCCGGGGCCGTAGAGGGCTACCACCACCTAGACACAACACGAAGATGCAGGTGCCATATCCGGCAGCGAGGAGACCATCGCCGAGTCCCCAGCTCCGATCTACTGAGCTCTTCCCCGACCGAGAAATCTGCATCACCGATTGGCCCTCGTCCACGCCGCCCCACCTAAGTACGCGAACAGCAGATCCCTGCCTCGCCGTGCCTGGTTTTGTTCCTTCTTTTCCCCTTTGTTTTTCCTATCTCGATGTTCAAATCTGAGCAGCACATGTTATTGTTACATGTGCTTGGTCACGGCAATGATATTTGATGATTTGTGTCATGTGGGATCGACGACCAGCCAGGAGCACGACGTTTATTGGAAGCAGCAGGCCCGTCTGTGTGAGGTCCTCCTTGATGGCTACTAGTGGTAGGGGCGCCACCCCCGTGGCGCCGCTTGAGAGGAACCTGTGCTCATGTTTTCATTTAAAAAAAAACATAGAGACCTCGTCTCCGTCTAAAAGAACATCTCGGAAAAAAATCCTAACCTTCATCTAAAAAAAGTAAAAAGAAAAAAGAAATTACCACCGCAGCCTACCAGCGAGTGCCACTTTGTATAATCCTTCATTAAAAAAACCAAAGATCCTTACCTTCATCTAAAAAGAAAAAAATACATTTAAAAAATAATCCACACCTTCATCTAAAAAAATTCTCACCGCGGCAAACCAGCTTGCGCCATGTGGCATAGCTGGTTGGCTGCCCTTCACGCATAGCTTAATGGGTTTAAGACCTCTTTCAATGCAAAGGTGCTTAGATGAGGTGCTAAGTGCATTAAATACCTTAGCAACTCAACACCCCAATGCATAGGTGCTTAGCTTGTTGTTGCTAAGCACACATTATTTAATGAGTTAGCACCTAAAGTCTTTCATGTATTGATCAAATTGTTTCATTTAAATGGTTTGTCTAGGTTTTTGCGTTTAGCATTGGTTCTTTCTGAGGTCACCAAAGTACTCTCTCTTCCTTAAATGTAGTGTCATGTCATTTTTTCGCTTATATGGCATGCTTAGCACCTGTTCACGGTGAAGCATTGGGAGGGGCCTAATATCCTCGCCTACACATAGGAAAGCGCATCGAAACAAGTATCTGCTGCCAGCCATTTCCCTCAATTCGAAAACAAGCCGCTGCCTAACTTGGTCTGGCTCACTCCTGCACGCTGATTTCTTGATGGAGTTTATGGAGACAGTGAAGGTAAGATTAAATCCCCCGCATTCGTTCTCGGAAATTTACAGATCCATGGTCGCAAAATCAGTAACTTAGTTTACTCGCTGGTGGACGGAGAGTCTAGTACCTACTGGGATGGCTGAATCAGGCTTGGTTGTGCGGCGGTCGGAGATTTTCGCGGGCTGTCAGTGTACTGAAGCAACATCCTATTTGACTCATAGGTACGCATCTGGTTTGAACAAGCTCTGTGAATGTGGTTAAGATTTCCTGGTGTTCCATATTAATATATGCCAGATTGTTAACAAGTGCTTTGTTAAGAGATGAATGAAACCCAGCCGATGGCTAGCAGCGCCATTGCTCCTCGTTGTTATTTCCATCGATTTCTACTTCAAAATTGACTGGGCCTTGATTATGTCTGATGATGTTAATTGTAAGGTCTGTTTAGGCCTTCCATGGACAATCCACTCGCACTCGCTTGCGTTTTACCATGGAGGACCGGCTATGAATTCGGATTTTAATGCATGAGTTTTTCTCAAATCAGCAAGTGATGCTTCTTCCGGCAGTTAATTATTTTAAAAAGGCATTCTAATTCCAGGGCCACTTTCCGCTCATGGCAATATGTATAACCAATTCCTACATTTTTCGGTGTGTGGAATGCATGTGGGGATTAAACTTTTTGTCCAATTCTATCATGTGATTATCAGTAAAACAGAAGCTGAGAAAGAATGGAACCCAGCTTGTCAAGTACCCACACATGCAGAACGTTAATTCAAATTAGATGCTGGGAGCAGCAACACACTTGGCTGCGAGCACGGCATGAAACAAAATGTGCAGGCCGATGTGGGAGCAATGCAAAGTTCTTTTCTTTGGCATCAATTTTGTAAACAGTAATAATTTATACAAATGATGCGCACTAAATTTTGCACTGCTGTGGCTTAGCATTAAGCCGACGCCAGTGTCAAAACGATGAACATTTATTATGATCTGTGAAAATTGTGTACTTTCTGATGGCATTATGTCACTTGACTAATTCCTGACCGTAAATGCTGATGGTACTTTCTGATGGTTGTAATAAAAAACGATGGATACAGTGCTTCATACCGGTCGAGTGTCGGGGCAATTTGCATCTCTGATGGTTGGTAATGGAAATGATTATATTTAATAAGGAAATGCATGCTTGCATAAGACTAGTCATAGTGGGAGTAACTTAGCTAGTTACATAACGCATTTCAAAAAAAAATTACATATGTGACATGTAGTTAATAAGGAGAGAGGTGTTTAGAGTAACATAATATGTTATTGTAACATAGCGCTCCTCGAGAAAGAATGAGTCTACAACCTAATAAATGAACCAAGGTACGACACTACTATTATATTACTTTGCACTATGAAGGTAGTAACTTATACTAGTGTCATGCATATGATACTAGTCTAAGTTACTCCCCACTATGATCAGCCTAAAACAGATTAGCAATGTGTGCATGCAATTGTGGGGCTAGTATAATCTGCACGCCGTCCAGTGATTAGTCAACCTTGATTAGCTAAAGTTCAAAAGTGATTTATCAGTTAATGATTGTATAGAACGACTATAAAAAATTGACTGCATGAGCAACTTATATGTGCAGAAGACTTATTTTGCTCAACCGAATAAACAAACCAGTCAAGGGCGTTGTCAAACTTCTTCGTGTCCTGACCTGTGCCGGGAGTTGGTACAATATGCAACCTGTTCCAGAATACGACCTCCTATGGTGCTGGCTCGCAGGACATCTGCCACGCACGCTGGAGGAATCCAGGACCAAGATTGCTACATTCGCGGCCAATACAGCCTGGTGAAAAACCAACCCACCGTTCTTATAAGTTGTTCCATAAATGCTCGATGAACATCCACATGCAAGCGAATGCTGTGGATAAGCATACCACTAGACGCCGTGCACCAAAGGAGTTTTTCGGTCATCTAGCTACTACTATGGACCGTAGGTCCTAATGGAATTACTCACACAACATCATAGAGGCAGCAAGGTTGATGAGCCATCTAGCTACTACTATGGGCTCATAGGTCCTAATGGAATTGCTCACATATTATCATAGAGGCAGCAAGGTTGATGAAGATGGCTCCGACAATGGCTTCCCTCTCCAGCAGGGCTCCGGAATAGGCCTTCAGATGAGATCTTCGTGGAACAGTGGCTTCTGGCGGTGATAATATTCTTTTGAAAATATGGCAGAGGGTTTCGATATTTATAGGCAATTATGGCGATGGATTCGGGTTAAGGCGGTGCAGGGAGGTCCACACTGTTGGGGAACGTAATAATTTCAAATTTTTCCTATGCACACGCAAGATCATGGTGATGCATAGCAACGAGAGGGGAGAGTGCTGTCCACGTACCCTCGTAGACAGAAAGCGGAAGCGTTAGCACAACGCGGTTGATGTAGTCGTACGTCTTCACGATCCGACCGATCCAAGTACCGAACGCACGGCACCTCCGAGTTCAGCACACGTTCAGCTCGATGACGTCCCGTGAACTCCGATCCAGCAGAGCTTCACGGGAGAGTTCCGTCAGCACGACGGCGTGATGACGGTAATGATGTTGCTACCGACGCAGGGCTTCGCCTAAGCACCACTACGATATGATCGAGGTGGAATATGATGGAGGGGCACCGCACACGGCTGGGAGAGATCAACAGATCAACTTATGTGTCTAGAGGTGCCCCCCTGCCCCTGTATATAAAGGAGCAAGGGCGGAGGCCGGCCGGCCCTCTATGGGCGCGCCAGGAGGAGGAGTCCTCCTCCTAGTAGGAGTAGGACTCCTGAGGGAGTCCTGGATTAAGGGTTGTTCGGGTAGCCGGACTATACCTTCAGCCGGACTCCTGGACTATGAAGATACAAGATTGAAGATTTCGTCCCGTGTCCGGATGGGACTTTCCTTGGCGTGGAAGGCAAGCTTGGCGATGCGGATATTCAAGATCTCCTACCATTGTAACCGACTCTGTGTAACCCTAACCCTATCCGGTGTCTATATAAACCGGAGGGTTGT